ATCTATATATATATATATATATATATATATATATATATATATATAATAATTATTAATTTATTTTATTTATTATTATTATTTATACATAGACCAGCCACCATAATTTGAGGAAATTATGTTTTCTACTTTTTATATTGCTTAAAAGTATAGTTTCCTCAAATGAGTGAGGTGACTGTAAAGTAGTCTTTGGTGGCCAAGCCACCACTGGCCACCCCCTGGCTCTGTATCTGCACCTTGTTGTGGATAAAATCTCTCCCTGTGCTCGCCAGAATCCTTCACTCTGCGCTGCCACGGATAAGAAAAAAAAAGTCTACCACAAACATTAAGGTTTACTTACATTCTCTGTTCATTTCCTGTTTAAGAAAACACTCATAAAAACTAGAAAAAAATCACTTTTTGTACTTTTCAGTGATGGGAGACATCTTGTGAGACATCACTTGTTTAGTTTTGTGACACATTTTGTCTGTGGCATCTTGTGAGTTTTTTAATTGAAGGGAAGTGTTTTCCTTCCAGTGGCCTACAAAAAAAGAGGCCAGATTTGATTAAAAAAAAAATCATCTTTTGATTTTATTAATGAGGCTTTATTTTCTGTCCTTCCAGGCCTCATCCTTATTAAAGGGCTATTAACTTATCCCTTTGAGGCTTTTTAATTTCCCATCAGGGAGATGAGGCACTCCACAAACACACTGATCCCTAGCAGCGATTTTTCGTGTCTCATCCTTTATAAACGGACTCGTGTTCACGTTTTTGCCCCTTTATTCTCCTTGCCGGCTGAGTGCTGCAGAACTATGAGGGAGATGGTTCCTGCTGGGACAGCGGGCTCCCCCAGGGCTTCCAGTCTCCCAGCCCGTCTACCCTGGTGTTTTCCTGTCAACACGCATCAGCCTTGTTGTCCTTGGAGCAGAGTAATTACCTATGGTTTTTTTTCCTAACGTGATAAATTAAGAGAGGTGGACTGTAAAAAATAGACAACTCACTCAAAAAAAAGAGGATCCACGGGTTGAAAGTGTCACGTGGCGTCCAATCAGAACGCCCGTTTCCTGTTGAGCTGTGGAAACACAATGGAAGAATCGCTCACTGAGAACCAGTATTGACATGTTAACAATATAACAATGTTAAGTGGGATAAGGAGAGTGGTCTGGTTAAGTAGTCAATGCCAATGACAGGTAGAGGAGCAGGAGCGTGCCCCCCCTCCCAACGTAAGAATGTTCAACACTCCAGCTGAAGCTTAACGCTCGCTGAGGAGGGATTGGAATATGGTTGATTTTGCATGATGGAGGTGCAAAAGGGTCTGCTTTAATCCCAAAGACAATCCTGTGTGGATTGGATTTAGCAGATGAGAATAGTGTGTTTTAGTTATGCAAATAAAGCTTTTTGAAAAGAAACAAGCAGATAGTCGATGATGTAATCAGCATAAAGCGTAAGTTACTGTGAGCACAGTAGTCCCTCATTTATCGCTGGGGATCCATACCCTGAAGACCAACGATAAGTGGGAAACCGTGAAGTAGGAATAGTAATACAAGTACTAGTTTATTTATATGTATATACATATATATATATATATATATATATATATATATATATATATATATATACATAAAAAAAATATAAAAATATAATATAAAATATATATATATATTTTTTTCTTTTTTTAAGGCATTTTAAATCCTTCCCACACTCTTGCAATATTCTAAACAACGTTTCTAAACTCTAAAGAGCACAGAATGTCATGATTTCAGCTCCCTGCCTCCTCTGCTCTGTGCCACCTGCAAGCGCTCTTGGCCACGCCCACTTCTCAGCTCTGCACGGTGAACAGCTGATCAGCTGCAGCAGAAACTTTATCCTGCAGCAACAGCTGCACAAAGGAGCTAAACAATTTAAAATAATTTTATTTTAAATAAAAAGTCCATGCAGATCATGCGGCTCATCCATTAACCAGCCAATTGTGTGTCATGTCCAGTCTTATTTTGAAAAACCGCGATAGAGCGAGTCCGGGATAAATGAACCGCGAAGTAGCGAGGGACTACTGTCTGAAATGTTGTCATATGTCAGAGCTGGGGTTGTATTCTTGGGGTTTTCATGACATTTAGTATAACGTGTTATTTATTGGAAGAAAAAACTAATGAAAGTGAAGATCTAAACAAAATAGATTTAAGTCTGAAAAGAAACATGCAGTTGTTGAGAGGGGCGGACCAGACGGAATACTGAGGTTTTTTTAATCGCCTGCCACCATAAAAGGCAGGCAATCATGAAAATGAGTGCATGTGTTAGCAAAATATCTCACAAGCTTGCAGACAGACTTCATTGAAACTTTCAGATAATAGTCATCAGATGTGCATCTACAACCTAATCACTTCTGGAGTCAACACATTCAAAATGTCTGCCACAGCTAATGAAGCGTAGCCAGGAGAAAAATGTCTGTAAGTCAATAAATCTGCTGAAACTTGGCAGCGTCTGAGAACTCTGCAGTTTCTGTGACGAAGGAGAAATGTGGTGCAGAGAACACAGCTCGTCTCTGAGCACTTCATCTTGTGACCGGTCAACTGACGCTTCATGTGTAATGTGTGTGAAGTTCCCTCTTCTTTTAATGTTCCCTGCTGGGTTTGACACTGTCTGAGCCTGAGCTTTGATCCAGAGGTGGCTCGTCGCTGACATGATGTCTCATGTGGACCTTGCTCTGTGGATTACCAGAAGTCTGGATTCATTTTACTGATGTTGTAACATTATGATGCATGTTGCTGGATTAGACCTTAGGCTGGGAGCTAGCCAGAGGCAAGATTTTATTTATTATTTAAACCGCTTCTCTTTTTATGTGTGGTTTTATGACTTTTAGGGAGCGTTGGAAACATTTTGTTTGACTGTATTTGCTCAGTAAAACGAATAAATCTGTGTTGTAAAGACACTTTGAGCTCCAGTGAGCGACTATTAGGAGGCTTCCTGTTCTGTGAAGTACAGTAAATATGTCGGGAGCTCATTTGGACTTTTTGCTGTTTGTCTTCTGTGACTTGTTGTCATGGAGCATGTGAGCGCTGTAGTAGACGAGTGGCGTGGTCCCTGCTGCGTTCTGTTGTGTCTGGCATTGTGTCAGTCCGTCTCAGAGGACAACGTGTGGCTGCGCATCAGCTACATCCCATAACTGCCACAAACAAAGCAGGGATTGTCCTGCTGCCTCTTAGCTGCATCTCCATGTTAGGTTTGAGCAAAACAAACCGTTTAAATTTGACACGCATCAGTGGACGTTGTCTTACCAGTAGAAGAATGTACTCCTGCTTTCTGGTTCTCTAGAGCTGAACTGGGAACAGAGCAGCTGATTAGCTCTTTAAGGAGGCCAAGCTCTTTGAAAGGTTGATTTTTGCCATAATTATTTATCGTCATGACCATGACATGCCTGTGGCTCTGCAGTGTCGGGATGTGTCGACGCTCTCATGGTTGATGGATCACTGTGCGTAAAAGAAAAGGTCGGCCAAAAGGGAACGGTAAACAAATCCATGGGGCTTCTGCAAAACTGCTTCCAGACCGCTGAGTAATCTTTCAGTGTTAATTATCACAAGTGGCCATCACAAATGCGTTTTCCCATGGACGTCACCTACGTTGGCCTAGTTTCAGTCACTTCAGCTGTTTCTGGAGGTAAACAAACACACGTGGTAGCTGGACACAAGTTTTGTTTACAAATTTTTAATCAATGATGGATATATAGATGGAAATGTAGATACTTCAGTGACTCTTTGCAGGAAATTACAGTATTGAGCTTTTTAAAATGTTGAACAAATTTCATTTTCTGGGCAGCACAGTGGCTTAGTGGTTAGGACTGTTGCCTCACAGCAAGAAGGTCCTGGGTTCAGTTACTGGTTTGGACCTGGGGTCTTGTTGTCCTCATGTTTGTGTAGGTTTTCTCTGGTTTCCTCCCACAGAGTAAAAACATGCATGTTAGTCTGCCTTCAGGCCCGTCATGCAAAAGAGATCTGTGATCTCAATGGGATTTCCCTCGTTAAATAAAGGTTAGTAAGTATTATTTTAAAACATTTGAGCAGTTGCCATTATTTTTCTGTTGGCACCAGGACGTGAAGAGTGCCTGAACGTCTCGGCCTCAGACCAGAGGCTGGCACTAC